GGCGGGGCCCTCGTGGCCGAGGTCCGGGACCGCGAGGTAGGGCGCGGCCGAGGGGTCTCTCGGTGTCCCCAGGCACCGCGGGTGCAGCCCGGGTAGAGGGGCTGCCCGCCGCCCTGTCCTGCTGAACTCTTGCCACTGTCTTCCGCCGGGCACCCCCAGCTGCCCTCCTCCGGGCCCCCAAGGACGAGCCCGAAACTGGCAGGTACACCCCCAGAGGCCTGCAGCCCCCCGCCTCCCGCCGGTGGCCCCGGCTCCCCAGGCCCCCTAAGCTTCCCATGGAGACGGGTGTCAGCCCCCCCACTCCGGCAGTCCCACACTGGCTCTGCCCCTGGCCAGCGTGGTCACCACCCTGCCAGCCCTCTCCAGCGGCCTCCACCCCACGGGCCTCGGGGTGCCCCGTGACCTGGCCCCAGCTCCAAGCCTCTGGCGGGGAGGGGCTGGCCCACCCCTGCTGGTGAGGGCTGGTGGGCAGCCGCCCACCCCCGTGCCCCGCCGCCCTGCCCCCGCGTCCTGTCCTGCGGACACTGGAAGCCGCTCTGTCAACAAACAGCCCAAGGGCCGCGGCCCCTGGCCCTGCCCCGGGCGGTGACCTGCCCCCTGGCCCTGTCACGGCCCCACCCTCCAGGCTGCCCCGCCAGGCCTCCCGCTCCAGCCTGGGGGTCCCCTGGTCCCCAGACCCTGCAGGGCGGGGCACCCCATGCCCTGGGTGCCGCCAGGCGCGGGGGGGCAGGTGGGGTGGACGGAGAGGAGGGGAGGGATTGGGAAAGAGGGGCCCTGTGAGGACAGTGGCCTGCGCCTGCCTGTGTCCATGGCCAGGTCTCCTGGTCCCCAGAGGCGGGGGCCGGCGCGGGGCCCAGTGCACCCCCACCCCAGCGCTCCGAAGCCCAAAAGTAACAAGGTGGAAAGTGCCCAGGGCCCTGTCCGCTCCCCCCTGGCGCTCAGCCCCGGCCCCGGGCCTCCGAGCCAGGGACAGCTTATCGGGCAGTGTCCTCCTCCCGTGTCACTGCCCGCGCCTCCGCTGTCCGCTCCGCCCAGCCTCTCCCGCGCCCCCCGCACCCCGAGCCTGCGCCCACCACCCCCAGGCCCTCTCGAGGGGGCTGCAGGCCCCGGGCACCCCAGGGCTGGGTACCCCTCCCGCCGCCTGCTCTGCGGGACTCTGCCCGGGCCCAGCCCGTGCCCGGCGCCCAGCAGCCAGGTGTCCACGGTGTCCACCGTCCCCCTGGGGCTCACGAGGCAGCCCGAGGTGCCCGCCCAGCGTCTCCCTGCTCCCCGTGGCGCCAGGGGGCGAAAGATGGGCTCGGGTACCCCTGGGCAACCCAGGGGCTCCCGCCCAGGACCCCGCCAGAGGGGCTGGGCCGGGGCAGCCTCACCAGGCCCTGGGGCGGGCTCAGGCCCTGGGAAAGGGGGCACGTGGGTGGCAGGGACAGCCCGGCCCCGCTCGGCCTGGCCCCGGAGGCCCGTGATGGATGGGCTGGCACGCCGGGCTGACGTTCCCAGGGCCTAAGAATAGGTGGGGGCAGCCACGGGGGCGGCCGCTGCCCGGCCCCACCAACAGCCTTGGCCGGCAGACTGTGGCGCCCGGCCCGGGGAGCCTGGGGCTTTCGGACCCCCGAGGCCGGGGGAAGCCAGCCCCTCCTGGGCCGGCCCCCCCGCTGCAGCGCCTCCCCAGCTGGGCCCCGTGCTCGGGGCTGGCCAGGGCCC